TGTTATTTCTAACGAGCAAAAGCCGTATATACAATAAGCTACAGAAAACCCGGTGAGTCTCCAAAAAAGCTTTGAAGTTTAGTAAAAGTTTAGGGTTTAGGGTTTAGGTTTTAGGGACTGTGAGCCCTGAGCCATCTGGCCTGAAAGCTGGAGGAGTCACCCGCTCCGGATGCGACTGAGATGTTCGGTGGCAAGATGATCGCAGGGAGCTTCCCTGTTCCATAGGGCTTGCAGGGCTTAGGGTTTAGACACGACATGTACCCCCAAAAGGCTTTGGGTTGTAAATGCGCTTTAGCGGGCATTAACGAGTTCTTTTGCGACATCCTCGGGCTATCAAAGGATTTCGCACGGCTTTGACGTAGCTGTTCCTTGCCCAGCGTTTTCAAAGTTCTTGCATTCTTCTCGTACAGTATTGCTCTGAGTTTTGTGCATTGAACTCTTCATGACTGTTGGGGCGAAGCGAGTCTTGGGGCCCGGACGTGTATATGGTTGATGATATAAATCCTGCATTCCCCATAACAAGGAACAGACCATAGTTCCCATAGTTTAGGGTCCGTAGGGTAATGCAGCATTTATGTCATCAACAGTATGGTTTAGGCATTCAGGGCTCATGGACTGGAAGGTTTAGGGCTTGCAGCGCAGCCTTTGGGAGGTGTCGGAAGTTCAGGGCCTTCAATGCAGATACAGCCGGCCTATACAGCGCGAACTTCCTTGAATTGAAGGACCGACACCTACCATAAACCCTATACTTGTAACTCACAGTCAAGTAGGCTATGGCAATTTAAAGGTGGGTTTATAGCAGGAAGCTTCTAGGAGAGCCCAGGGGCTAGGGTTTACGGGTTCAGGGTTTAGGTTTGTTCTTTCAACGACCGTCCAGCCCTTGAGGACGAGAAAAAGGACGAAATGCACCGCAAAACGGTTTTGAGGTTCATCTGCCACATAGGGGTTCACGGTGCGCGGATATAGCGTGACATCCGGAGTTCAGTGAGTTGGGCTTTTCAAGCGCAAGGGGCCCGGGAGTGCCGGGGGGACGGGGGGAGTGGGCAAGGCTGTGTTCAGCAACCCTGAGGCCTGAAGCCCTAAACCCTAAAACTCCGGAGCCTGAGCAACATCGAGGATTTGTCTTCGGGGTTTGGTATGACCCAAGATAGTATCCCAACGCATGAAAACAGGTCGACGTGTGTCTTTTAGTTCTGCACAGCACAAAGCCTACAACCGAAATGAACCTTGGTGAAACTCAGCAACATCGAGAGCGGAGCATTGGCTTAGTATAGAATACCTGACTGGTTACAAAGGCCTGTCTGTAGGGTTCTTTAGTAGAACTATAGTGTAACAGTACCCGAAACCCCTTCTAATTATCAAGGCTTGAATATTACGTTTCTGCAGAGCCCCTTTGCCTTAGGAAGGTGGTGAAAGAGAAGAAGGAGAAAAAGGAAAAGAAAGAGAAAGGGGACCAGGCACTTACCTGAACACGTGAGGGCTTTTCCGGTTCCGGGCTTTGGGGCTTCTTGGATCCAGAGCTTGGCGGCTTGAGGGGTTTAGTAGATTATTGTTGGTGGTATGCGTTCTTGTATTTCGAAATCTTGGCCAGATTGTACGCCTTGTTCTGTATTAAACCCTAAACCCTAAAACCTACAGTGAGCCGCTAGATTGTGTATGTTTCACCCTTCTTGTGTCTGCCCGGAGCTGGCACGCCAGCATGGAAAAGAAAAGGCAGATCCCCGCTGAAGACGAAGCGGTTTAGGGTACTAAGCCCTACCCATAGGCCCCTAAGTAGTTCCTATTTGGGATTACCTTATAGGATTCTAAATATAGACCATAAAAAGGAACTACTTAGGGGTCTAGGGGTATGCCCCAAACCTGAAACCCAGCTGTATCCCCAGGACCCTTAACAGAACATCGCCAGACCCCAAACCCTAAAGCACAGGAGAAAAAGGAAAAGAAGGACAAGAAAGAGAAGAAGGAAGGGAAGCAGAAGGCAGGGAACCCGACGGTTGATGATATCAATCCTGCATTACTTTAAGGACCCTAAGCTATGGGAATTATGGTCTATTCCTTATTATGGGTAATGCAGGATTTACATAATCAACCGTATCACCCGCATCCCCAACTTCCAAACCCAAACGCCGAGCTCTCCATAACATGAGCCCTAGACCCCACTTGGAGGTTTATGGGTAGTTATAAGTAGGGTTATAAGTCCCTTAATATGAGTTATAGCTATAGTTACCCTAATTATAACCCCAGGGCCCACTTATCACTACCCATGAACCTCCAAGCAGAGCCACGTCTAAACCCTCAAACCTAAACCCTCACCTTCAAGACCTTAACTGCTTAAACTCGTAACACACAAATAGATCCTAAACCCCTAAACCCTAAATCCTGAATCAACCCAACACCCGAAACCGTAAAGCCTACAAAGGATCCTAAGCCCCAAATCCTACAGAGATGCCATAAAGTTGGAACATGAAAATCCTCATATCCTTCAGGTGAAGTCTCTGGGATCCTACTACGAATCATCCTAGACCCATGTTCCAACTTTCTGGGGTAAACCCTAAACCCTAAACCCCTAAACCCTAAACCCCTACACCCTAAAACCCTAAACCCCCAACCCCTAAACCCCTAAACCCAAAACCCAAAACCCTAAACCCCTAAACCCCTACACCCCTAGACCCCTAAGCCCCAAAACCCCTAAAACCCCTAAACCCCTAAACCCCTAACCGTTACCCCTGAAGCCTGAAAGGCCGGAGCTCCTCCAGAGGTTCTGGCGCCGCAGGTGCCAAGTGAGGCCACGCCGCCGACGGCCAGCGCAGTGCAGGAAGAGAAGCCGGAGGACAAGAAGAGTAAGAAGGAGAAGAAAGAGAAGAAGGAGAAGAAGGAGCTGAGGGTTTAGGGCTTACACGGTTTAGGTTTTAGGGTTTAGGGTTTAGAGTTTAGGGCTTAGGGTTTAAGGAGAAGAAAGAGAAGAAGGCGAAGGCGGAGCTGAGGGAGTCTGAGGTCGAGGCTCCTATCGTACAGGTAAGAAGGGAAAAATCAGGAAGCAGTCCGCACCCTAAGTCCTAAACCCTACCCAAAGGCTCCATGTACCTTCATAGTAGATTCTTAGGCCTTGAAGGGGTCCCTATATAGGTACTTTAAGGCTTAAGTATCTACTATATGGGTACATGGAGCCTTAAACCCTATAGACCATATGCCGAGCCAACTGTAGTGACCGCAGTATGTACTTTCTCCACCCCAGCTTCTCTCAGAGTGCTGTCTGAAAGTACACTGCGGTTGATGATATAAATCCTGCCTTACCCATAAGAAGGAATAGACCAGAGTCCATAAGGTAATGCAGGATTTACATCATCCGTACCTTCCATGCTCCTCGAAGTGGGGCTGGGTCTTTCCACGCACGTTCCTGGTATATTCCTGCCTATTCATGCCTTCTGCCCGTGTTCCCAGGAGCTCCAGGGGGTTTTGGCAAGTTTAGGGGTTTAGGGTTTAGGGTTTAGGGGTTTAGGGGTTTAGTACCGGGGTACCCGGCAGTTGCAATAGGCCTGGATGCAAAAAGGGTTTAGGGTACTCATTAAGTGATTCTGGCCAAGTGTCCGTCCTGGCAGAGTCGCAGCAGGCCAGTTGCAAAAGGGTTTAGGGTTTAGGGTTCAGGGTAAAAGCAAAGGGAGGGATCCGCGCTTTTGGGTGTCTGCACCCTAGTGCGTGGGGAATGTGAATCGGTACCGTTCACGCGCAGTCAGGCCAGAGTCAGGCGAAATCCGACACGGTGGAAAGAGCACAGCAGAAAACATAGAGTGCTTCAGCAGCCTTCTTGCAACATCTTGATCATAGCCCCAATTTTTTGTTTTCATCGAGCACCGCAGAGGATGCGGGCACGGCTGCCCTCCGTGGCAAGACAGCTCGCTCGGCGCGGCTTTCTGAGCTTAGGCTGCCGTTGAGCTGTCGAGTGGTGTCGGGGCTGATGCTGGGGTTTCTGAATTTCGGCATCCTCGACAGCTTAACCCATCTTGGCCCTAAGAGCTGCAAAGCACCAAGGAGCACTTCCGCCCGGCGGCAGGCCCAGGGCCGGGTGTAGGTCGGCAACAGCTTCCAACAGAAGCCTTTACGGAACACCATCGAAGAACCTTCACGAAGGGTGGGGGGGGGTGGCCAGTGACCAGTGCATTGAGGGCAAGTTCGGTTGATGGGAGGGCATTGTGTCAGAGCCATGCCGAGTGTACCTCTACCTCCAAGCTCCCTCATCACGAAGTGAAAGCGTGGGCTTTGTTCAACCATACTGATTCTACCCTGCATCCAAACGAAGGTTTCGGACCCCCCCCCCCCCGAACTGTCCCTGCTTCTGCACTCGCGAGGCCGGCGCCGACATCATCGGCATTGACCTGGGCACCACGAATTCATGCGCCTCGGTTCTTCGGTTCGAGAAGGAATGGCCCAGAGCCCAGAAGAGCCCAGAGTTCCTTTGGCCAGGCGTGGCCGTGATGGAAGGCGCGACCCCGAAGGTCATCGAGAACAGCGGCTCGGCGGCCTTCAGCTGCGCTCCGGGGTGCGCGCTGAAGCGGCTGAAGCCGAGACTGCGCCGAGGTGAGGGCATGCGCACCACACCCTCCATCGTCGGCTTCGGTGAGCAGCGTCTAGCGACTCGGACGAGATTCCGAAGGAGAGGATGTGTGCCCACAGCTTCGGTGTGCTTTTCTTGGCAGACCTCGGTCGCACCTTTGGATGTTCATGCCGCATGCTCTCCAGCCATTGCCCTATCGTAACAAAGAGCTCTTTCAGCAAAGGGGAGAGGCGGACATCTCCTGCCATGGGGCCCACTGCCTCGAACGTGCAGGGCCCCGAGAGCCCCGAAGCCCAAGAGCCGGGATGTCAAAGGAGGGAGTAGGAACCCCGAACAAACCGCACCGGAAGAGTGCAAGGGACACCGGAAACCCATCTTCTAAGCCTTCCTGACTGAGCCCAAAACCCCAAACATTGCAAAAAAAACGCCCTTCAAAGCAACAAAAGCCCCGGCCGCTGCCACCGCAGGTGGGCATCCCGGCCAAGCGTCAGGCAGTCACGAACCCGGAGCCTCGCCTCGGGGTGTTTTGAGAGTTTTCAAACCTCCTGGGCCCTCGGAATTTCGGATGTTGGGGCCCCTTATACTATAACTATATTATTAAAGAACCCCCCGAAAATAGTATAGGTAATGATTAAGGCCCCTATATTGGGCCAATTACCTAGCAGCCCCTGGCTCGGTGGGATGTCGAGTGCAAGAGGGCAGGAGCAGGGCGAACCTTCGGAAGTCCAGCTGCTAGTCTCACTTGACGTGAGCGTAAAGTTGTCATGTGCATGGCTTCTCGCCGATCTCGCGAGAAATGGATGCAAAACCAGCCTAAAGTGGTGCTTCTGTCACTTTTGTTAGAAACTTGCGGTCTTAAAATGAAGGTGCAAGATACCGGCAACTCTGCGGCACCGAAACCCGTCCACAGCCAAACCCGCAATCCCTCGTACTCTTGGACCCTGCGAGAGCGCGTAAGCCTTCCATTGAGTTTGCAGTTGCTGCTGGGTCCGCAACACACCGCAGCAGCCCAAAAATCCCTCTCACGAGAGGCCGCTGCTGAAATCTGAGAGAATCTGCTTGCTCCAGTCCTCCAGGAGAACACCATCTTCGCCGCCAAGCGGCTGATCGGTCGATCCTACGACGACGAGGCCATGCTCCGGAAGCAGATCCCCCCCCCCCCCCCCCCGCTGCCAGAAAATCCGGGAAACACTGGCCTTCCGGCGTGACTCCACGCAACCCACTTGTCTGCAGCCGCCTTCAGGCGACGCAGAAGGACAAGAAGATCCTCCCCTACAAGATCATCAAGGCGGGCCGGCAAAGTCCTCTGTGCATTGAAATCGCTTGCGTTCAGCACAGGCGCCGAACGGCGACGCATGGGTCGAAGCGGAGGGCAAGCAGCAGCTCTGAAGACATGTGCAGAGTCTGGTGGAGCTTTCAGCCCGAAGAATCGGAGCCCATGACAGAGCCGAGGTATTCCCCTAGCCAGATCGGGGCTTTCGTGTTGACGAAGATGCCCCTGGGACCGGACTGGACTAGGGGACGATGGCGTGTGGGGGTGCGGGTCCTCTCAGGAAGGAGACCGCCGAGAGCTACCTGGGGCGGGACGTTGGAAAGGCTGCCTCGCCGGTTTTGAACGCTTGCAGATGCGGTTTCCGACGCTATGGATTCAGCCTCGCTGTTCTTGCCAGTTGTGAATGGCACCTAGGCAGTCATCACGGTGCCAGCGTACTTCAACGATGCCCAGCGCCAAGCCACGCACCTCGGTAGCATGAAGTCATGCTCGGCTGTGCTGCAGAATCCTGAAGCTCGGATCATGCCACCCATGAGCCACCCATGAGCCATGTAGGGCAGTGCCGCAAGCTTGAGATTCCTCAGGAAGGATGCGGGCAAGATCTCTGGCCTCGAGGTCCAGTCGGAAGACTTCCTTCATGTGACAGCGGCAGCCCGAACACTGCGAGAGAGAGAGAGAGAGAGAGAGAGAGAGAGAGCGCGAGCGCGACATGGCTGTTATGCGTGTTTCCGAGACTGCCCACCGAGGCCCAACAGAGTCCCATAGCGGGGATGACTGTGTCTTGATGTCCTAACCGACTTCGCACCTTTGTTTACCGCTCATCCGATGCATAGCATGAAACCTGCCACGCACTCGGTACTCTTGTGCAGCTGTCAGCAGGGATCCCCCCAATGCCAGCCACTCAATTAATACATTGGGTGGTTGGGCGAGCCAATGGCCTGAGGGTCGAGCTACCGACCCCTAAGCCCAGCAGGAAGAAAGAAGAGACATGGCGGGGGCTTCGGTGCCCGGGGGATTTGACAGATCCCCTGTGGCCGATGGAAGAGAGAGAGTGAGAGACAGAAGTCAGTCCAAAGTGGGATGTCGAAGCCTCTTACGAGACTGCCAGAGTTGGGCAAGCGCTTTCAGCCCAGGGTTTTGGCGGCTATGCGGGCCTCTGTTCTGAGCAGTTGTGTGCGGCTCTGGAGTTCCTGCACACTCGTGCTATGCAGTGTCTTCTCGGAGGTCATGCGCATCATCAACGAGCCTACGGCCGCGGCACTGGCCTTCGGCATGGAGAAGCAGGCAGCGTCTTCGGCTGGGACATGTTGCGGAGAATCGTGGGAAGGCTAATTAGTTGCTAGCTTAACGGGTATTCCTCGTGGTCGGCAACGGTTGTACGAGCAGTGGTGGAAGGGACAGAATAACAGCTAGTGTCACGAGTCTTGGTAGTGTCAGATCGTTTCGATTTTGGTGCGTTCTAGATTCTAGAGATTGACGGTTTTGTGGGGTGTGGCCTTTTTCATATGCACGATAGTACAACACAGATTTTGCCACTGAGCACGTTGCGATATTGTGTGGGTTGATAGGACTTGGGGCCTTGCAAAGTGCCTAAGGCCTAAGTCATTCCAGGATGGCTCCCTGTGCCAGAGCAGAAGCAACTCTTTTCATCCGGAGCAATAATCCGTGCTTTTAGTGGCATTCTTGGGACGCGGTGGTGGTTGTTGCTCTAAGAAAGATACATGCCCAGACCCAACCTGAACGTCGCATGTGAAAGTAAGAACCATTGCCGGGCAGCAGTGACCATCGTGGTAGCTAGCAGCCGAGGAATAGGACCAGTAGTGAGTAGTGGGGTGACGCTGGTGATTGCATTTGGAAGAGGTGCTCTGTTGATGGCGATTGAATTACATGCTGTGGCTGGTGTGGAACCTTTTTCAAGGTGTGCTGCAGCATTGTTGAAGCCCCGAAGTGATTGCAGTGTGTTCCAGCTCCCGTTGCTGTTGCGGCTGTTGTCATGGAACTTCTGCCTCCAGCTCCGAGCTTTAGTAGAGGGAGAGAGAGAGAGAGAGAGAGAATCGGAAGCTCCTGGAAGAGGAAGGGCAAGTCTTGGCCGTCTACGACTTGGGTGGTGGCACCTTCGACATTTCGGTGCTCGAGATCTCCGGTGGGGTCTTCGAGGCAAACTTTCGTGCCGTCGTTTGCCTGTCGGAGCTTAGCAGAGTTGTGCAGGGTTTTTGTAATGGGCCAGAACGATGAGGAGGAGGTCCTCTTGCGTGGATGTGCGTTTGTTCAGCAGGTTGGTAGGTTTGCAGCATGCAGCAAGGGCAGGCAAGTGCGAGTGCTACTGCTCTGTTTCGACCAAGCATGGAACTCAGATAGGTATTGCCAGATGTTGGTGGGACTGCTTCAGCCACCAGCCAAAGATTTACAGTGCCGGCAATCGAAGTCAGCTAAGCTCACCAGAAAGCATCAGAAAGCCCTAAGCCCCAAACCCGAATCCATACCAGCCTTGTGCGAGCGTGTGAGTCGAAAACCGAAACCCTGCTGCCGCTGGGTAGCCAGCTCCCAGACTCCCACCAGCCAACCTACCCAACGCCCACATCAGCCTAAGTCCTTTCCTCCTGCCATGCCATGGACCTCCTGGGATTCGCAGGGGGCTGGCCGATGGGAGGCATCACCCCGACAAAGTCCGTGATGTTGTTCTCCCTTTTTCTGGCATCCGTCTCCTTCCGTCTCAGTTCGTCTTCGTGCCTGTGTTCATGTGTCCAAGGTTCAAGGCATTGCGTGCCTTGCCGTTTCAGGTCCTTTCTTTGCATGTGCCGCATGCGCCGAGGGCCTGCGAGTTCCATACGCAACAGGTTCCAAGTATGACCCTAAACCCTAAACCCTAAACCCTGAGCTCGGGACGGAACCTGCCATGCCTGCTTGTGCGAGTGTGTGAGTCGAAACCCTGATCTCCTCGCCTGGCATGTCCGAGTTGTGAGAGCGTAAACCCTGATCTCCTTCTAACCCCACCTGGCCTCTTTTGGATCGAGCCCCTCCAAAGGCCCAACTACTCAGTCGCCTGGCCTCCTTAGCTTTCGCCCAGGCATCCAAGCGTCAAGGCTACCTGAACCCCGCAAGAAAGAGCGCCCCATACGGTCCTATATGATACCATATGTATTTAAGGCCCCAAAACCCTAAACCCTACCACCCTTATATGCATTTAAGGCCCTTAAAAAAGAAAGCCTACGGCCCCAGAGGGCTACTGGCAAGACCGGGAGGATCAGCTCCTTGGCTGCAAGCTATCTGCAGCTCCGACTCCTAGCGGGTCCTCGCGGGTTTAGGGCGCTTAGGGTTTAGGTGTTGAGGGGTTTAGGGTTTAGGGTTTACCCAGAGGCTCCTTAGTAGTTCCTTTTTGTGGTGGAAATTTAGGATCCTATGAAGTAATCCCAAAAAGGAACTACTGAGGGGCCTTATGGGTAGGGTTTAGGGTGTAAGCCAGATCACCGGTCGGTCGCAGCGCCTTGGTTTGGGCGTCTTTGGTGGGGGCGCCTTCAAGGCGGCTCTCGAAAGGATGTTGCTGAGAACTCTGCGGCCGGCATCGCGTGACAAGGTGACGCAGTTTGGAGTTCGGGGTTTAGGGTTTAGGGTCCATGTACCCAAACAGTATATACTTTGGCCCCAAAGTACCTATATAGGGACGCAACAAGCCGTTATATTGGGGCCTCCATCAGCGGACCTCTCGTTTCAAGACGCGTGCCCGAACAAAAGCAAGCAAGCTCACCAACAATTCCCCGAGCCGTTCGAGGTGGCATGGCTGGGAGGGCCAAGGATGGGCCCCTTCCAGCGCGCCGTCGGCCCTTTGGATGGAGGAGTTGTAGATTTCAGGGGTTTCGGAGGACTCAGAGAAGTGCCTAGGGCCAAGGGCCGAGGGTATAGCTTTCATGCCCGCGTCTTGCAGGGCACGTGTTGTTGAAAGTGCCAGGAACTCGCACAAGATCCTTCGCAGTGACCTTTGACCCCGAAGAGCTGGGCTTCTGACATTTTTTCGAGCAAGCATGGCGAAGGGCTTTCCGTGGAGGTGATGGCATGTGTCTGATGTGAGTTTTTTTCGTGAGGTTGTTTGTCAGGTTGTCGTGTTTCGGTTACCTTGAGGTTGCATGTGGTTGGATTTGTTTTTTTCGTAAGGTTGCCGCCCTGTGTCTCTTGGTCCGGTTTAGTCCATTTAGTATCTGTTGATGCACGGGGCCGTGCTACTGTAGCGGCTAGCGGGAGTCGCCGCGCACCGTAAGCTGGTGCGACACGTGCTGCGGTGGACCCGTGTGTACGCTTCCTCCGGTAAGTGCGATCGATGGCAAATCCCAATACATCGGCCTCGACATGAATACCCTCTCGGTGGATCCGGCAGGCACACGTTCTCCGAGATCACAGCCTTCTCGGTGGAAGCAGCCGGTCCTGGCTCTGTGCGGGTGCTGCCGCGTTGAGTTTAGCCTCAAACTGTGTGAATCCTGCCAGTACTTGGGAACGTTTCATGTCCATGGCTCCCGCTTGTAGATGGTGGGGGGAAGCATTTTGGATGTGCTCCTCAATCCCGTCTGCATCCCGCCAGCACATGGGAGAAGCACTTTGGTCGCACGCTTCGCGCATGGTGCCGCGACGATTGCCGGTTCGGAATTGACAACACACTCGGTGTTTCTGGCCTGTTCGTTGCAGAAGGCTTTTTTGAAGGGCTTGTGTAAGACGAGTCTACGGGAAGGCTCGTAGAAAGGTTTCTAGAAAGATTTATGGTGGTTTTGTACAAGGCTTTACGGAAGGGTGGTGTGAATGGGTGATGGACGGACGGATGACGTGGGATGCTACGTCCCTGCAAACTTTTTCGGTACTCTCGTTCTTTGATCATTGCATTCCCCCCGACCCAGATTCTCGAACAGGAAGCCTTAGGGTTTAGGGTTTAGGTTGCTAATCCATGCCCTTGGCCCAGAGTCCACCCCGCAGCGTGCGCAGCGTGCACCTGCGGCCGGCCGACTTCCAGGGTGGAGGCGCCACTGCAACACGGGGGGTACTTGTAGGGTTCTGTGGGATGTCGGGGGAAGTTTGGGGGGTTGGAACTGCAGGATTTCGGAATCTTAGTGTGGACCGACAGGGCTTGAGGGTGCATGGCTGCCTCAGTGATCAGCGGAGTCTTGCTACTGTAGCTGCTCGTGCAGGGTGGGAAGAGCCCCCGTTGTCACCACGAGAGGCAACTGGGCCAGGGGTATTTTTTTGGGAGTTTGTGCAACGTGGCTTATGGTGCCGCAAGGTATCGGAAGTGTGTGGCAGCATTCCTCTGCTATCCAAGCAGGTGGCCGCTTAGAGCACGCCAGTGATCACTAGTCGACAGCTCAACATTGTATTACAGTGTGTTTTTACCCAAGCCCAGAAGTAGTCTATCCCAACCAAACAAATAAATAAATAAATATAAATATAAATATAAATATAAATATAAATACAAATATAAATATATATATATTATAGATAGATAGATAGATAGATAGGTAGATAGAGAGATAGAGTTTATGTTTATAGACTCATAGACTCTATATATGGCTCACACACACACAGAGAGAGATATATATATATACATATATATATATACACACACATACATGTAGATATGCATGCTCTGACTCCTTAAGCCCCCCACAGAGCGCTCCCTCCAGGGCTCGCCTTTGCGGGAGAGTCCTCGCAGTCGCAGTCGAGATCGAGGTCCGAGGCCACGCCCGGGGTGATGCCTTTTTTTGTTTCCTCGGTTTGGGGTGGTGGTGCTCAAGGCAATTCACCCCGGGCCGCAAATCCCTGACAAAAAAACAGCGCTTTGAGCAGCTGATCTTTCTTGCTCTGCTATCTCTCTCTTTTACGCACTTTTAGGGTTTCGAGCTGGTGTAGACATGAGGGGAGTGCACCGGAAAAAGGATAAGCGGTAGCGGTGCTGGTGGTAGCGGTCGTCGTCATAGTAGTAAGTACGACGTGTCCTTAGCCTTCTTCTTCGTTTCCCGACTCTTCGGCTGCATGCTGTGTGCAATGGGAAGTGCTGAGAAACTCGCGGTGGCCACCCTATATCAATGCGGCGTCATCAGCCAGCGCAGTCCCGGAGGTGGCGTAGTGCTTCGCGATCTTCGCAGGTTTAACTATTTGGAAACCCGATTGGGCAAACAATGAGAACTCGTTCTGCATCATTTGCACATGTCTGCACCGTTAGATTCTTAGATATGTGCGGGTCGCCGTCACTGGTGCCTGATATGTCAGAGAACTCCGATACCCTTAACCATCCCTGGCCAGTATCTCAGGGTGATCGACGACTTTAGTGAGAGTAATGCGATTCAACCAACCCTGGATAAGTTTCACCTCCAAAAGAACCTCGCCTGGTTACGCAACTCGGCCAAGGATGGTGCTTTCCTCGCCCAAGCGCCGCAAAGACAGCCGCGACAGCCGAGGTTCAACCCGCTCTGGTCCCTGGGAGTCCCAAACATGGGATTCAGAGTTTAATTAGGGTCCCAGGGCTTAGAGTCTTAGAGTTTAGGGTTTAGGACATCTCCAGGTGGGCAGTTACCGTTTTTGGAGCCTTATAGAAGGTCTATATACCTTATAGAAGCCTCAAAAGAAGCCCTATAATTCCCTAAACGCAGCACCTGTATTTTTTCCTTTCAATTTAGGGCTTTTGGGGGGCAAAAGGGAGGGTTTCAGTCTCCTCGAGAGGTGACAGCCGCCCTCGCAGCCCGCGGCGGAGCACCCGCCGCCGCACCGTGTCTGAGAAGGATCTGGGTTTAGGGTATTTTAGGGTTTAGGGTTTCTAAACCCTAAACCCTAAACCCTAAACCCTAAACCCTAAACCCTAAACCGTAGGGTTTAGGATCTCCTGCATTTGGGGGAACTGACAGGTAACCTGGGTGCAAGACGCGCAAGAGCTTGTCCACTGCAGCATGAGGAGCTGTAAGGAAGGTGGCGTGGGTTTTTGTGTCTTGAATTTTTGGTGCGGAAGGCCGTGAAGAAGCGTCTGCTAAGTAGGGACTGCGGCTCAGCAGTGCAGCATTTCTCCGCAAGCCTCAGGCGGTGGCAAGCAAAGGAGACAGTCATGATAAAGATGGCCAGTAAAAGAGGACTACAAGTTGCGAAGCATAGCTGGTAGTCCTGGGGCCATCAATAGTTCTTGAGAAGCC